CTAGATAAACTGTTCACTAAAATAAACTGACACTCAACTAAGAAGTGAAACTTTGCCAATAAAGTAACCGGTTACGTCCCAATTCTGAAGTGAAAAAATCTTCAAAAATATTGGAAAAATAGCTACTGAAGCCCGTAGACATTCATATATTCGCTTTAAAAAACGCAAAAAAAAAACTACTGTCAACCTTAAAGTGTCAAAAGTACCAACCTGAGATAATCTAAAAGGTTGCCCTTGTTCATATACTCAGTTATAATATAGAATGGTGGTTCACGCGTACAAACGCCAATTAGCTGAACCAAATTGGGATGATGTAGATCTTTCATTATAGCAGCTTCGGCAAGGAAATCGTGGAGAGCCATAGCTTCTTCCTGCAGTTATCATCAACAATTGACAGGAAGTATAAATAAAAAAAAAAAAATCAATTATGCAATTTTCTATATTCTGTCTGGAAATATAACTAAAGAACTTTGTACTTTTTGAACCCTAACTGCCCAACAATATTTAATAAAGAAAACTGCAAGAGAAAAGTCAGCACCGACTAATCCAGAAAAAATATGCTGCAGGTGCACTGCTACAAGAAATTTCCATATTCATCTTGTTAATTTTTGCAGTAGTGAAAAAAAATTTATAATTCTCTAAAATAACACACCTTCAAAGTCTTTACTGCAACAACTCTCTCATGCTTTCTCCAGTAGCCTTCATAAACATCACCATACTGGCCTCCACCTGAAGTGATATTTTAATCAGCTGTATTCGAATCCAGAAAAAAAAACGAAATAATAAAACTAAAGAGTATAAATCATGAATAAATATATGAAAGAAAAAACAAAAACCTTACAGAATTAATATTTTGAAAACTTTGCCTTACCCAATTTATTTCTCATAACAATTTCTGAACGATCCACCTCCCACTCGTCTGGCTGAGTAGGGGACAAAGAGAAAACCATCGGAGGTCGTTCCTTTTTGGGAGCAGGATAAAGCAAAGTACAAACGAGCCCATCTGCGTGAACACTATGATGATGAACAAGTTCCCCCAAAGTTTTAAATTTGCTCTCTTGAGTTATGTACAACTAGAAAACAGTTGTAAAATAATTTGAAAAACATCACTGCAAAGAACCTCAAATTTTCTTCTGCTATTCCATCACAGTAAAGAAGCTGCCAAAGGAAAATCAAACATCAACAGTGAAATAACTAAAAGTAATTTTTAGAAATAAAACTTCAAAACTTTACCCAATCTTTATGGTCTACAGAAATCCTATAATGGTAAACCCGTCCATCGTGCCTAACAGAAATAGAAAACTGTCCAATATTAGTTTCTGACTCACGAACTAAGAAGCTTCCATTAATACCAGAACTAAGAATATATTCACTCTCGTTCCTGCTTACTTTTCCATGATACCTATAAAAATAAAGAAAATATTCCTTACTTTCCAACAACAACGTACCACCATGCATTACCAAGAGTGCTTTTCCAACGAGTTAGCAGGAGTTATATATGAAGAAGGGACCCAGCCAACGGCTCCTGAATGGCGCACACCCACTAATTGTGCTTCACACCACTCGCCAGCTTTGTTGTGTCCTATCACGCGCACATGGTCGCCTTTAACACAGCAAACAGTTTGAAAATTAAACCCTAATTTTTCACGTATCAAAATGAAATATTTTTACAATAAATACTAGAAATTCTGAAAACAACAAAAACTTCTTTTGAAAAAAAAAAAGAATGAAATATGCAAAAACGTAGAAAGTACAGTTAATTAAAAAAAGTTGCATATGCATTATAAATACTTGACAATCTAAAAGAAATTATTTGGGAACAAACGAAGATCAACCTTTCCGAAGTGACAGTTGTTCTTCACCGACTCCATGGAAATCATAAAGAGCAACAAACAAGGAATCTCCATCCGCGCCCATCGAACCATTCAGCAAATCATCCCTGAATAAAATGAAAATTTAAGAGATATTGATATTACTTAGCATCCAGCAGTGTAAAACGAGCTGAATAAAAAACCATTAAATGTTAGAAAATTGCGCTGTCCGCAAAGGGGTGATGATATATTCTGTAACTAACTGATATCAACTACTTCTAAATTTCCTGAGCACGTAAAGAAACGTGAAAAACGAGAGTTTAAATGATAAAGTTTTGGCTCATTAATAAAACAGGTAAATATCAATCACTGCAGTATAAAAAACTAATAAAATTTAGAAAACAAAACCTTCTCCCCTCCCTCCAAGAAAACTATGCAAATGAGGTAGGGCAAGTCATTGCCAGCAGGGAAAACAATAGAAGTAAAAGAAGAAAACTACGTTGTAAAAAGTCAAAAACTAAAAAATCCAAATAACGAGGTAGGAGTGGCAGACAAAAGAAAAATTTTTGGTCAACGCAGCAAGCAACACAGAATGAGCCTAAGAACTCATCAGCTAAAGAAAAACTGAGTTAATAAAGAGCCAAATTAACTACGTGACTCAATGTCAACTTTCGGCCAAACACTCGGGATACGATATGAGAAATAGCACACGACTTGATGACAACTGTAAAGGACATTTGACAACCAAAACACTCAAAGCCATCACCGTCCAAATGGCGACCAATGCCGACTGACTACCACCCATATCCTGCGCTGTACTAAATAATCAAACATCAACAAGCAACCAACTTGGCTCCAAAAATAGGTTTCGTTAATATATGAAAATGTGACAGGTTCTGGAGAGCATGTGACGTTCAGTGGCCCTTCTTAAGGAAATTCTTAAAAAGAGAAATCAAAGTGGTCAAGATTATTTTCTACTTAGTACTCCAAGGCAAGTTACCGAGAACAGTGCTGAGAGGAATCATAAAATAAATAAGAGCACAATAAATTAAAGTACTGCTGACACTAAAATCAAAGAAGATCATCCATCAAGCTGGAAAAAATTCACATTATTTAAAAAAAAAAGGGTGAGAAACAGTTAGAAGCAAAAAATTGTGGTGATATCTATTAATACAATATTCGGGACAAAACAGAAGAGAAAAAAAGAGCAGAAGAAACAGTGCCACACCACCACTACACAGCCAAGAAAGACAATGGGTACGCTTCGATAAACCACAACAACGGAGCATTTGATGTTGCTCGTACTACTGTCAGCAGTGTCAATCAACAGAATACAAGTTACATTTAAGCTAGCACACCGCAACAAGTTCTTTCATGATTTCCGCCCTCCGAGCTACTTCTCACCATCACATAAATAGGCCATATCCAGCTCACACACGGTACGCCTTACAGCAGCATCTCTACATGCAAAAAAAACAGAAGGATACAAATAAATAACTCTAATATTGCAATGCTTCTAAATGTCAAATTACACTAAAAAAGGAAAATATTCTAAAATTATATTAAAAATAAAAAAATGAAGATTTTTTTAGTAAAGGCGTAAAATGATTGTAAAATAAGTGAAAACAAGAGGAAATACGGTGAACCTCTTGAAAAAAGCCCTGCGACAACGTCCCACAAAAATCATGTGTTCAAGCAGGAGTAAGTCTCAAAGAGCTATTACAAACAAAATCCTAAGCGAAATAACAAGAATTCCACACCCGATAATTAGAACAAAGATTTACTCCATTGAAGCAACTAAAAAAATAGTATTCTAGCAAAAT